CGCCTACCGGCCAAACGTGACAGGAAGGATTCACCATGACGTATTCGTCAAGAATAATTTGCAGAAAGTTCCACATAAAAAGAAAAAAAAACAAATCTACAAGTCTCCAAGCACAAAGTCGACTGGAAGGAAGCTTCTCACAATGGCAGCCAGTCAGTCCCTCAGCCAGCCAGTCAGTCAGTCTGTGCCTCGGTAACAGTCAGTCAGTCAGTCAGTCTGTGCCTCGGTAACAGTCAGTCAGTCAGTCCCTCAGTCAGCCAGACAGTCCCTCAGTCAGCCACACCCTCCCTCTGTCCCCTGCTGTAAACTGAGAGCACAGGGATGTGGAGTGTTAATGAGCTTGATTAGTATTCGCTGTGTGTGTGCTTCAGGTACACAAAGCAGTGCGGTACAGGGCTTGGTTTATCAATTATAAATCTCAGGGAGACCCGTTTCTCAACATGCAGAATGAAATGTATATATCCATCCATTATCCATCCATCCATCTTGTATAAGCACTTTCTGAGGTCACAAGGAACCTGCAGCAGGCCCGTAGCCAGAAAATAGTTTGTAGGGGCAATTCTATTTTGTCTCCCCCCCCCCCTGTACATTTTGCCGACTCAGGGGACGGATGGGCCCTGGGGGTCCTCATCCATGTTTTTCTCAATCTCTATTTCAAGGGGTATTTAGACAGGTTGAGATGGCTGATAATAAAAAACATTTCGCAGGGGGGGTTCAAACCCATTATTTTAGGGCAAGAAGCAAAGAGCACATGGAATCCAGGAAAGTGTGTATGTCTTTTTTGATATCTGGGGTGCAGCCTGGATATCTTGGGGAGAGGGGGGCAGTAGTTGGGATTCTCATTGGCCTTTAAATGCCCGTAAATACCCACGTGTTTTTTGAATTGATGGCCAAACTGCAGTCTTCAGGTTTCGCCCCATCACTGTCTATCCCTGGTCACCCCGATAAGGGAAGCCCCACCTCAAATAGGCAACTTTACACCCCACTGATGCCTTGCCTGGTTCTGTTCCACATTATGCTTTGGGGGAGGGTCACTACGTCCTCCCTTGATTGAACGCGGTGATTTTCCGCCCGATCACCTGAGATCAATTTGGAGACGGTGAACAAAGAGGACGTGCAGGAGAGGTGATGGATGCCCCTGTCAGCATGGACGGGCTGGCTGGGAGGGAGGGGCCACTCCCCAAAGGGCACAGACACATGGGCCGGCCAGACTAGAGAGGCCCAGGATACTTTTAACCACAAACAGAAGCAAAATTGAACCATATAAAAATGATTTAATGAAGGATCACATTCCCCGCAAAACCTTCTGAGAGGACGGTCTGTCAGGCCTCATCAGCATCGGTCTTTAAAATTCACAGAACCGTGGGGAGGGCGGGGGGCAGGAACTAGGTTCAAGCTCTAGTTCCCCCCGTCCATCTAAATGAAGCTACTCAGGCCATGGGAATCCAGGACGATGGCTTATTACAGACAGGGGGGGGGGGCGGAGGGGTTGCTGTCAAGTTCCTCCAAAGACGTCCACAACATTGGCAACAGCAGGTGACCATCACTGCGTCACAAAACTCATCAAGGCAATAATTTCTCAGTTCAGTGTATCTCCTAGGGTCCACATAAATCACTGTGAGAAACCTGGAGATCAGATTCTACAGTCTGCTCTGACCCACAGTGGCTAATGAGGTTCCTGTGCGATTGCAAGCAAGTTTTCTTTAAAAGCCATTGTGTTTTGTAATTTACACATAGAAGAACCAACTTTTAACTTAGAAATATGAACATTTAGATTCTGAACTGAACCATACTCGTATCCAGCAAAACAATGAGCTTCTTATGAATGAGTAGTTTACACTGATTGTGCTAAATATCCAAACAGAGGTCTTAAAATCCTCATTCATACCATCTTGTATCCCAATTCTTCTCATATTTTACTTAAGTAAATAAGGCAACAGATTCATATTTCAGTGTAATCTGGATGCCAAACAAATGTGTTTCTTCATTTCGAGACAAATGCGAAATATGAAAACGTACCATGACCTCTCAAGTAATGAAAAGTATATTACGACAAATTCCTACAAATGATTTATGGCCTGTGTATGGTCATACTTTATAATGTAATGCGTGATCTCTGGCTTGCGGATCCAATTACATAGTTAATATACTGCTGTTATCTTCAGTTGGGATCTAACCATAAATTAGAGCAAAATGTACCCAAAAAAGAGTCTAAGCCTAAGGACAGTGCGCAGATGCATTAATCATTGGGTACAAAAAACACCGGGAGAGAATTCCAACACCGTATTACGAGTGCTGCATAGGGATGTGCCAGGCCCAATCAAGCTTCCATGTTTCATGATGGGGCTGGGTGGGGGCGCAGGGGGGGGGTGTGACAAGAGGAAGCCGACTATTGCCATCCTGCCCTGAGTCCTGCACTCCACGCTTTCTGCAGCCCTGCACCAAAAACGTAGGTTTTGCTCTTGAAAAAGATGAGACTGGCAATGATCACCACCTTAGCATCTCTGAATGCACCAAATCCTCACTGTTCAGGTTGCCTGCACCAAACGTAACTCCAGGGCAATGTTTCCTCATCCGGTCCTTGGGGACCCACAGACCGTTCACCTTTTTTTGCTGACTCCCTGCTCCCAGGGGCTGGGAGGGAGCAAAAATGCAGATTGTCATGCAGGGAGCTGGGAGGGAGCAAAAACGTGGACTGACTGTGGGACCCCGAGGACCAGATTGGGAAACACTGCTCTAGGGCTCCTACAAGATCGTTCCTACCTATATATTGGTCTAATTCCACTGACCAAGACCTTCGTAAGACCTAATTTCTAATATTTCTCAGTACTTATGGAATTTTCTCTTTATGTTTTTCTTTCACAAACATATTGATTTTTTTTCCGTCCAGTCCAGGGTTATCGGCCTGAAGGTCCAAGTGATTTCTGTGTCTCTGCATTGCGATAATGATTCAGGAAATCAATTTCCCATAATGAAGCTCACAATGTACTTCAACCTTCATCTCTAACCTGACAGCTCTCACTTAGAGGACACATTAGCGATGAGAGGTTCTCGTAAGCTTTAAGGTATGTTCTGCAATTACGTCTTTCTTTTATGATCACTAACGGAGAAATGTAATAACAGTACTACAGCAGATGGAGATGCTGCTTCTCACCCTCCTCCTGATTAAAAAGTCCAGATCTGTAAGCCGCATGACAGCGATCGATAGCATTCCTGGATTCACTCATTGGGAGAGACCGATGCGGCAGGTCTAGCTATGTGTGGGCAGGCCATCAGCTGTATGCTTCTGATTGGTCAGACGGGTTCTAGAATGATGCAAATATATACAGCAGCATGGTGCTAACAGAGAGCCTCAGGCTAGATACTGCCACACACACACACACTTATGCATTTGCATTCA